TTAGAAAAGTGATGGGGAGGGTGGGGAAAAAACAGAAAAAAAATCCATGCAAACAAAAAAGGTTTGAAAAAAAATCCATGCAAACAAAAAAGGTTTGAAAAAAAATACATGCAAACAGACTTGTTTAAAAAAAAAATTACAAACAGAACAACAATAGAACTTTAATTTTAAATGTACATCAGACAAAATTGAACTAAATCTTTGGAATATTTCAGAATATAAATATATCAAAATATATAATATATTAATATGCAATTTCTTTCAATATTAACAGTAACTCTTATGTAGTTTTATTATATACTATCAAAATATTTTCTATTGTATTTAATAATTAATTCTCATTCACACTGCCACTGTCCTCAGTGGCGTAACTACTATGGGCTCGGACTGTGAGAATCCGGGGGCCACCAACCCCAATGGGCCCGCAAATAGGGGCCCCAGGCTCAGGCTATAGAGCAAAAACATTGGCCAAGGGCCTCTGATATGTTACAATGGCGTTTTCTGACCATCAGAATTCTGTAAAATCTCTCCCCAAAGTCCGGGAAATGGTATTTCAGAGAATTTAGATTTAAAAATTTTCTGGGTGAGCATGCTCTGGACCCCTAGAAAACTTGTCCATATATGGTGCTTAAAGATATAATTTTGCAGTGTGTATTAAAGGGATATTTTTTGTCAAGAGAACAGTTTCGTTAACATTTGTATAGTTGTATTGGAAAAAAAATTGCATGCGAGAAGACATATTTAAAAAAAACATGCATACACAGCTGACAACCTGGAAAAAAAATGCAAACAAAAAAAATTTACCCCACCCCCTCCATCACTTTTCTAATGGTCCGTCCCTAACCTCAATACATTAATAGCAAAGCAATAACTCATTGAGTAATATTCTGCAATCAATGTTCAGTAAATAGTGAAGCTTCCAACGGTCTGGGAACAAATAGATTGGACTAAGAGCAACGCAAATTATAGCTATGTATCGTATCAGCTGGAGTAAATTTGTTTGAAAGATAGTCGCGGGTACCATTTTAAGCTACATACGTTATATATGCAGTACAATGTTGTGCTCTATGTGCCCTTTTCAAAAATATTTGCCATTTGTAAAGTTGTTTATCTCGCAAACGAAAAGAGAACTGTATAAGGAACTTACTGTAATAACTCATTCTCTCTTCGTTATTTAAAAATGTAGCCTAATCAATTTGTTGTGACCTCGACGAGTAAGCAATTTAATTTTTAGCTATGCCTTACTAAATGCATGAATTGATGCTTACTTTCTTTCACTTATCATTTTCTATAACCAGACATCTTTGAACACAATGAAGCCTTCACATGCAGAGAACTATTATACAATATAAAGTCGGCAGTTCCAAGTTGCAACATCAAATCCAATGTTAATGAACAAAAGAACCGGCAAATATATAAAACGCTCGATTACCAAAATCTTGTTTCAAACTTATAATGTCCATGAATTAATACTAGTTTCTGTGTAAACAAAAATTAATCTACCTCTAATTAGTTTCCCGACATATTTTTACATTGTCAATTGATTGTTTTTCTGTTTTGATTTGTTTTGTTTTGTTTGCAGAACAATTTAACGAATGTGCGATGTTTGAGACAATCCCTCACCCTACGTTTGTTGATCTAACAAACGATGAAGAAGAGGAGGTAAGTTGCATTTTCGCCTCATAACAAATTACTGTAAAGTAAACTTGCCCTGTCTAATATACAAATATAGACAAATACTTCTTGACATATGCAATCTTAAAACATATGTGATATGTCTGTTAACTATAGATTTACTTTTCTTTTTAGCAACCGAAATCGCCTGTTAGTTTTAGTGGTATTGGAGAAGAACGGCATCTTCATATCGATGTAAATTCTATAAATCCTGCCTCTTCCAAAGAAGATCATGACCGTAGCAGGTCAGATAGACTTATTTTGCATGTATTACTGATATTTTTTATCCTGTCCATCTATATACTTGCATTTGGGGTATGAGGCAAACATGATGAAATGATATGCCAACCCAAACTTCCATTATTGCAAATAACCGAAACCTTCATGATGATCAACCGTGTGCAACCCAGAATTGACAATTGAAACTGTATTTAGTTTATGAAACTGTTTTAATGTTGAAACAAAAATTGTTTAAGAGATATTTCATGCGAGCATCTAATAATATAAATATTATTTCTTATTATTAAATGGCTCCACTCATATATAACGCATGAATTCATGAAGACTCTAAACAATTCTTAAGCAGTTCCTTTACAACTTGGATCGCATTTTCGATTATATTATTGAAAACTTTATATAGTTGTGGGAAATTTTAGAGTGAAAAATATGTAAATAACTTTAACCAATGTATATACTCACGGACATAACCGTTTGCAGTAACGAAATGTGCATATCTGCAAAAATAGAAGACGCCGCCTTCACGCAATCGCACGGTGGTTATTCTCTGGCTACTGAGCAACATAATTCCATACTCTAATCGAATTTGAAACTGCCATCTATACCAAAATCTCCAACATAATGCGCTCTATATATACCTTTCCGATAATTACGTCGCGACTGACACTGTTTCAACTTAGGACCACCTTAAATGGAATAGATTTCAACTTTGTTTCTCACGGGTTATGGTCAGAGAAGCAGAACATCTTTCGTCGACACATGGATAAAAAGAATTTTGGACATTGACTATGAAATGTGGAAAAAAGCTTAAACACGAAAACGAGGCTGAGGGGCCAAGACACCTCTTGAAACAAACTTAAAATCCATTCCGTTTAAGGTGGTCCTAACTCCTAAGTTGAAAACAGTGTTAGTCGTGACGTAATTACCGGAAAAGTCCATTGAACAAGGTGCTCAAAATTTCGTGTAGCCTGTAAATAATGTTTGTGGCCACTGATGGTCAATATTTGTTGATCCGTATAGTCGGCGTATATCATTATGATAGTCAAAAATGATTGCATCACGATTCATAAAATTAGAACAGACCACGGAGCTTTGTCAGAAAAATAGAAGGTGTATTGTATGTAATGATAAATTCTTATTTTTTGTTTAGTTTTGGGGATGGCACATCTTATGGAGAAACTTCTTCTAGCAGCGAGGATCTGCCGTCGTTAGAAACTATCTTGTAAGTACAGCCTGTTCTGTTCATACTATATCATTTTAGAAGAAAAAAACAGGAGAAAGATCGCACTGATTCAATAGTTTCGTTTAAACTGACACAATGTTTTTATTTCAACAACAAGATCGAGTCAGGGAATTCAGAAAAGAAAAAGATCAAACGACAATGGAAATGAGCGTAAACGAGTACCAGGGAACAAAGAAATAGATTCGAAGGACCCCGGAAAGGATACAAGTGAAGAAAGCGAGGAAGAAACAGAATTCTACGGTGGAAATGTGGCATTTCCTGTATATTCAAAGTCGAGAAACGTTCTTCCTGCAAAAGAAGCTCTAACGCTTTTAACTGAGAAAGGAGCATTTTCCCTCTCTAGAGTATGCCATCGCCAACCACTACATGTTCAGCATCATCGAACTTTTATTGTTGATATATCTTCCCTGCGATCACCGAATGATATTAAATGCGATGACATGGGCTCTTGGCGTAACCACAGCTCGAACAAGCGTACCTATAATGTGACATGGGACGACGAAGGGCGGATTGAAATGATGACGACATCAGAAAGAAGAAGCAAAAACAACAAGGTGGTAACCCTGAAAAGAGAGTACTTCAGTTTAAACCATGACGTCCACGATGATGTACGAAAGCGAATCGATACAATCATTGGTAAGTAAACCTGTGTTATAAATAAGGCGAATCTTTCCTCGTAGAAGTGACTCAAAAACTAAAAACGCTAAAGTGATTGGTTAGCGCTATTTTTACGATCCGTGTCGTGCGAATATGAACGAATAAATCAACGTAATAGAAAACAGGCTTAATTAACGATCACCAGTGAATCATAAAGTTTGACACGTTAGTTGCTGTTTATAAAGAAATGAAACGGATAATGTTGGTGGTCACCTGATGTGACTCCGATCATTAATACGCGAATAGTTAATATATTTTGAAAACATTTCTGTAATTGTTGATATCCTGTAACCACGGGATAAAAAATTTGCCATACGCATGATTTAAACTATAACCGAACGCTGCGAATACAGTATGACGCTCTAAACCAGAGGGCCTTTAGTTGCATTTTTCGCAACTGCTCCTGGTTAGGCTTAGAAAATTAATACATGTGAACCTGCATTTCCATCTACAAAACCCTTTTACCATTAGTTAAAATGAGTGTAGATACTGATACCCAAAATCCAGATATTTAGCCTGTGTAAGAACTGAATCATGCTAGCTGTAATACCGGCTGTGAACATTCGTGCTATGCATGCATTGCTTGTCTTGCCGACTTTCCAACAGCTCTAGCTAATTCTGATTGGTCATGAGTGAACGTATTGGACTATGATTGGCTGGGCTTAAATATCAACAAATTTGGACTTGGATTTTCAAAATCGAAATAATATTTCAAACACAATTCAATATTTAATATTTGAATATTTAATATTTCAAGCAAGGTACGTTTTAAGCTATATATAATGAGAATTTAAATATAGTTCTAAATAATCTTTCTATACTGTACTTTTGGAATGGAAAAATAGGCAAAAAATATAATTTTAAAGGAAAATAGTAGTTTTGACACAATATTACTCAATTGTGATGTTACTCTGAGTGTATATTCACACCGGGCAAGCTTGAAAAATATGCCTGGCGACGGTGGGAATCGAACCTACGACTCAGAGCAACATCGACTCAGAGCAACATGCCAACATCACAAACATTATATTCACCTAGAAAAAATTATCGTTTATTTCAGGCCCAGATAATCAGCTTCACCGTTATTGCATAGTGCAGTACTCATTTAAAGGCGGAGTGGAGCATCCCGTGGAACCTGCACCGCATGGCAATTCTGGGAAAAAGGATACCCACCAGTATGTGCGAACCTGGGAAAGCACGAAGAGAGATCTTAGAGAGGAAAGTGATGGGAAATACCCACGTGAGGCAATTCACGGCGTCCTAAACAAAGCCATGGGTGGCATACAAAGCTGCGTAAGTTTAGGACAGATTCCACGAAATAGGCAGCAGGCGAAGGATCTAAAGCGAAATGGTACTACGCCAAATAACAGTAGTGGCTTGAAGAACATTTCAGGACAGGGTAAATTAAATGACCCGTGGTATTGTTTATTGAACGAGTCCAAATTACAGGCAAGAAATAAGAGCACCGCCTTCATCCGTGATGTAAGAGTTGGAGCAGAACCGTTGTGTGTTCTTGCTAGTGAAAGGCAACTGAACGATCTACAACGGTTTTGCTGCAATTTACACCAATTCCAGCCACTAACCGTCGATCCAACATTTAATATTGGAAAATTTAATGTGACACCTATCTCTTATCAGAACCTGGTAATACAAACGAAAGACAAAAACACCCTACTCTGATTGGCCCGGTATTGATTCATGAAAAAAAGACCAAAGAAACGTACTCTTTGTTCTGTGGTGTTTTGAAAACACTAAAGCCAGAACTAAACGACCTTCTTGCATTTGGCACCGATGACGAAGAAGCACTTGGCAATGCATTTAATGAAAACTTCCAACGTACAACCCATCTTCTATGTAACAACCACATGCTGAAGAATGTTGAAAGTCGATTGGTAGAAATGGACATAACCGGAAAAGTAAAGCAAGATATAATTTATGACATATTTGGTCGCCAGAATGATGAGGTGTTCGAGAGTGGTCTTTGCGATGCCGACAATGCCGTGGAATTTGAGAAGAAAATGCTCATTTTAAAAACAAAGTGGGCGTCCAATCACAAAAATGGAAAAAAGTTCCACAAGTGGTTTCAAAAAAACAAGAGCAAAAAATTTGTTAACCATGTTATAGCTCCAGTACGCCAGAGAGCTGGCCTTGGTTGCCCTCCTGGGAAATTTACCACAAACCGGTCCGAGCGCACAAACGGCGTCATTCAAGATTACGTGAAACGAAAACACGGACACCGCCTTGTTAACGTATTCACTTTTGCAATCATGATGAAAGAGCTCGTTGATATGCAGGAAAAAGAAGTTGAACTAGCTGTGGTGGACAGAGGGGAATACACTCTACATCCTGCCTTCGAAAGGCTGAGAGTAGCAGCCAGTCAATGGGCGCAGATGTCGTACGACCAGCAGCAGACGGCTTTGAGCAAGATCCACTCCTGTAGTGTTGAAGATGTCTCTCGCACTGATGTGTCAACCATTACAGCAGCAGTGTCTGAAGTATCAAACCCGATCTTGAAGGCCATACTAGATGCAGGGGTTGATTGGATACCCCGAGACTCCTTGGCTTTGACAGCAGACAAGGCTGCCAAGTTGGGTAATGATGGAGCAACTGTTGCTTTACCGAGTGTTGGTACAATTGATACGTTCATTGTGCCATCAAAATCCGATCCAAAGAAGCCCCACATAGTAAATATTCATCCAAACGGGAAATGTGAATGTGATAATTGCCACGCGTACAAATCATCCTTTATATGCGCGCATGTGATTGCTGCATGTCTAAAGAAGTCCAGACTTATGGACTTTCTTCGCTGGCTTGTTACATCCAAGCGCAAAACAGGCGGTGTCAATTATAGTGAGGCTATTTCGTTTGGTATGCCAAAAGGAAGAGGAAGAAAAGGCGAAGCGGCACCTAGAAAGCGCAGCAATCGCAAAGTTACCAAACAGTCTGTGACGGTACAGAGAGTACCTACTGAAAATACCCAGCAGGTTCAACCAACTTCACCCACCAGTCCATCGACACAAGTCCTTCCACCAAACGCACCACATATCGAACCACGACAACCACAACCCCGAACATTTCCTACACAACCGTTACCACAACAGATCGCAAATTCTCAGGAAATGACAAATTTCGTACAAAACCAGTACCAGTATCCAAGACTTCCTTATCTGTCGCCAGCGCCGAATACATTCACTCTATACTTCCTGCACTACTGTCCACCATTAACCTCGCGCTGTTTTGGCTGTGGAAACCCCCTCAGAAATTCTGGTGTAATCAATGATCCTTCGGGTGAACTTGTCATCGTCTCACACATGATGCGGGAGTGGATGCATGGCGGTCAGTGGGTTAGAAAGCCAGGGAATGTGTATTTTCATTGTTCACTCGCGTGCGTTCAAAATAGACAACCATCATTTGTTCCGCAGCTTCACTGTCTTGTGCCAAACGCCATACACGCTCGATTGACCCACGTGCACAGACAATTTATCAGAGACAATCTTGGAATGCACTTATAGACTACAGCTTCCAAATGGACAGACTAGAAGCATCCTTCATTATTTTATTGCACAGACTGTTAGTTATGGGAATAATGGATTTGTTAATTATTGAGATATATTGCGATATTGAACGATTGCACATTTTGATATCTGCATATTGATATTGTGTGCGCCATAGTATAAAGTACACACGTGGAAATCGGATAAAAGAACGTGCTCTTTTGTTTAAGGCCATAGTTACACGAAACGTGATCGCTTGAACATGTTAAAATGACAAATTTAACAGTTTCAATTCAACAATTTAACGTTGCTAACCATAGGCTAACTATAATAGCCTGCAACACATAGCTGATGCCCCCAGCCTGTACATTTACAGGCAATGGCTGAGTGGGCGCTGTTCAAAAATATTTCTGTTTGTTGAGGCAAAACGAACTATAGCTTGGAAGCATTACAATGGACAAGCTATGCACTGAAAACAAATTATACAAGGTGTATCAAAAAACGCAACCTCGGAATTTCCCAAGAAATCGACATTGTTTTAAGGACAAATGATTGTAGGTGCCTGGGAATTACTGCACACGCGAGCAAAATTTATACATTTATTTAATGACACATAATAAGTTTTTATTGTACAATACAGTACAACAACAGTAATATGATCTATTATATTATTTGCCTAAAATCTTTTATGCTTCAGAACTGCAAAGTCAAAATGGATTTCTTGGGAAATTCC